GCCCGCATGTGAGCTAGTTGGATTGGGAGGGAGCTATCTAGACTATCACCATAGCTAGTTTTATCATTATCATTAGCTGATCGTACCAGGTTGTTTAAACTTTTAAACTTGTGCCTGTTTTATGTTTAAACTTCGTATGGCCATACCAAGGTTTAAATTTAGAATATTTATGTTTAATATGCAACCGATCATATATGGTGTCTAAATTATGTAATGAACTACTAAAGTGTCTAAATTATGCACATACTAATTTGTCCACTTTTTTTAAGTATCTGCTACTTCTCATTTTGCAAATTCAAGTTTAGATAATTTCATTTGGCAGAGATGCACGTGTGTTTTGTGAAAACCATTTCATTACATGTTTAATTTGTCAACATGAATGTAGTAATTGGATCACATGTGCGTCAACTGTAGCAAAGACAACTACCAGAAGGACAAAACGTTGTTCATGGATCTTCCCAGCGACTTCCTAACTAGGACAGTATGTTTCAATTCAACATGTTGTGACTAAGTTTCATAGTTGCGCGCCAAAATTTTGTCTAATTTTTTTCTTCTAATTTTGCTCAAACCATCACTTGGAGGGCAAGGCAGGACTTCCTAGGAAAGGTCAATGTTGGCATTCTTGCGATGGTACACTTGAAGTTACTCAGATGCAGATGAGAAGGACAGGAACTTCACTGTGCTTCTCACCAATGAGGCAGACTGAACCTATCTCGGTTGCCCTAGTTGGAGAGACATATTAGATGCCTTCGGGGTGGTAGATGTTTAGAGGGTTACATTCTACTTGACCATGAATGTGGGGAGATCATGGTGTAGTACAAATACCATGACCAGGACTCCTCTGACTCCTCTGACTCCGACTCCCTAACTACAAACCTAATTGTGTCTTGACTCTAGTTAGTAGGCATGCTATCTAGCTAGTCATACTATGCTGGTAGTTGGTTGAACATGTTATATGCTACTAGTCATCCGATGTTAGTACTATTTTGAACAGTACTAGTCATGCTATGTTAGTACTTTGTTGTACATGTTATATATATGTGTGATTTCTTTTAAACTGTAAAATGCTGCCATAATAGTAAAAATGGGCCAACGTGCTCATCTTGAAGCTATGGAAGCAATTTTTTGCCAAGTTTTGCTCTTTTGGCAGAATTTTTGGCTAAATTTTGCTCTTGTAGCCAAAGCTCTCAAAATGCGGGCAGGACAACAAAAAATTGCCATTTGGCTTGGAAAACGATGTCGTGACAACATTTTTTGTGCCTGAAAATTACATTAGTGGTGTATTCCTATACTGGTACGTCGCTAGTGTTTTCTGTTTTTCAGCGTGCACTAGTGTTTTCTTTTACGGGTGACGTGCAACAAGATGCCACTAGTAACAATTATTAGTGGCATCATATTGGTGGTGTGGGGACCCCACTTTCTATGTGTTTTTTTGGCACGCCACTACTATCGTTTTCTGTACTAGTCGTGTTCCACAAGGTAGCTGATATATCTGGTTAGGGTGGATGGTGTAATTCACAAGGTGGTGCATTCCATGAGGTTGATAGCATGGCTGGGTAATCTAAGGCATATTTGAGGTGGTTTATAAATTCAACAAGTCAAAATTGAAGTGAAGATTGTTGCTGTCGATCTGTATGAAAATTAGACTTGTCTGGGCGCGAGAGGATTAGTTGATAAGGGATGATTCATTAGCCATCAAGGATCGAGATGAGCACAAAAGATGGAGAGTCAAGATTTAAAAAAGACTTTTAGGAATTGTCTTACTTTGTAGTCTTGTTAGTTTGCATAAACTAAGATAGCTAATACCTACGAGTATTAGTAGTTTGTGTTTGAATCGGTTTGTATGCCGTGCTAGGTACCGTGTAGAGTCCGTGTAGGGCTAGGACGTCTGTCTAGTAAGTATGTGTGTAAGTTTAAGTTTGTGTTAGGGTTGGTGGTATGAAAAGTTAAAAAATCTGACGTCAGAATTTTATACATGATAAATCAAATGTTTTTCCTGCAAAATTTTTTTGGACGAGCGTTTTTTTAATTTGCAAGCATGGTAATTTCTGGTAAAATGAAATAAAGTGGATTTGTCATGCTCGCTAACTAAAGTTGCAATTCTCGACGGACACAACTTGTGATAAAAAAATTCAACTTGTCATGCCTAAAATCCGACGTTCGCTGGATATTTGTGCAGGCATCAGGCCGTGTAAACATTGTATCAAGAAGAAAAGAAACGCAAAAAAGAAAATACTAGATAAGAGCCCTTTAGCTATATATATTTTTGTGCGTGTGTGTTCGTTGCATTTTGATGTAGTTGATTGATCCATGGGCAGAATTCCGACAGTGATGACTATAAAATCTGTTCGTAAGGCAATCACTGGTCTTCCTTGTGTAGTCGCAAAACAAAAGGTAGCACATTTTTCGATAAAGGACGCTTAACTCAAAATATAACATCAAACGAGACAGGATTAATTTGTGACATATTTTTCTCAGGTGCCCGCTTTTTATTTGACTTCTGATTTTCAAAGTTTTATATATTTTAAAAAAAAATTCCAAATTAACTTATATTTTCATATTCGTGTTTCTCGTGACCAGCACTTTCAAATAAGATTCATTTTGAATATATTTTGATGATTAAAAATGTGTTAAGTTTCAATATTGAAACTTAGTACGAGTGATCGATAAAAATCAATTATTTTGTGTCTACGACCGACTAAAAGTTTTCTTAAAATTATATCTATGAAACTGGTTGGAACATTTCAGTTTTAGATGCAAACCGTAAATTTCATCGTTGAAACCTAAAACATTTTAAGGGATTTTTATTTTATTTTTATTGTGCCCTTGTGCAGGATTGAACTACTGCGTGAATTGCAAGGCAAAACGAGCAGTCGGTAGGACTTGGCAGGTGAGTGTACCCGCACTTAAGTAATTATGCGCATTTCCGGCATCAAAAGGATACAAATCATAATGAGCAACATACGAACTCCGCATAACTACCATGCACACAGTCAAACACAAACAGTCTGACATTGAGATAAATAAAAAGATCATAATAGATTCATATAGGACCGAAATTTGATGTTGAGGTAGGTTTTGACAAAAGATAAATAAAAGTAGCACATGCGAGCCTTCTTTGTTTATATTTTCCTCGCTTTCTAGCTGATCTTTGCAGGATCAATTAATTCGGTAAAGATGTGTCACATAAATGCAAAGATTGCAAAGTCATCGGACTGTGGCGTCGCGACGCCTCCGTATCTGGCAAGATCAGGCCGTCGATCGATTACGATGGGGTTCACAAAGCTGAAGCATCTAAATATGCACACGGAAAGCAGGCAACTTGAACCGATTCTGTGCCTACAGATAAGTGATGGAGGGAGATATCTGGATGTTATTCTGAAACTGAGGCGACTCGTCACCGGCTGCATACTTGGCTGGTTTTCATGGCAACGCACTGGCCGTACGTACAGTATCGTTAATTTGGCATTCCCCGTCGTTGTCCCAGCTGAATTGTGGGACAACATGCAGCTATTTGACTGATCTCGTCAATATTGCCACGCGCACATGGCCAAATCCGTGCAGAAAAGTAGATGGCCCTTGAACTTCCGATAGCCAGATGAGAGATTCCTCCATAGGTCGACACAAGCTAATATTCCGAAGTCCATTGGCTCCTAATGAAAAGCCTGATCGATGCACTATCCAGGTTGATCTCCTGAATACGTACGCACTCTTTCAACCAACCTGCGCAGCGCTATAAAAGGAACCCATTGACTACATGCTACCAAACCATCCCAAGTTTCGTCCCACACAACAGAAGCACAAACTACTCACAAGTTCTCTAGCTAGGAGTACGCTAGCAGCAAGCTCGTTCATATACCAGCTTGCCTCGAGGTTATTGATCTAGCGTCAGGGGGCAGAGATGGACCGTGTGATGAAGATGGCGTCAGAGCGGGGGGTGGTGATCTTCACCTTGAACTCATGCTGCATGTGCCACACGGTAACCCGCCTCTTCACCGACCTCGGTGTCAATGCTCTAGTTCATGAGCTAGACCATGATCCCAAGGGCAAAGAGATGGAGAGGGCGCTCCTCAAGCTTCTCGGGAAGGGGCCACCCGTCCCAGCAGTGTTCATCGGTGGAAAGCTTGTCGGCGGCACCAATAAGGTCATGTCTCTGCACCTTGGTGGTGAGCTGGTCCCCATGATACGGAATGCAGGTGCCCTATGGCTGTAGAGGGCATTCCACAGGGTCAATATAGTCGGAGGGATGGATGTTTACAGAGCCTAACTCCGGTACCACTCGGCAAAATAAATAGTCGAAGAGTGTGGAAGACAAGTTTTCGTATATAGAATAACCTAAGAGCCTAAGTAGTACGTCGAGATAGGTTTTTTCAAGTCCTACTCTGACAACAAATTTTGAATCACTATATGTAGTAAGCTATGTGCATGGTTTATGCATATAGCTAGGTTGCTTTTGCGCCTCTGTTCTTACCCCAATCTATGTATCCATCTATATTTTACTCACCCTTTTTGCACGTGCTATAGAGCTAGTGGATATATATCTGTATGGAGTGTCAATTATTTATGGCAGAACCTCGTCAAGAGCATGATGTGATGATCCCAGTGATTCAAATGGAAGAAAGAATGACACGGTTTATAACAAAATAAAATGCATTAGAGGTCATAATACTTTTTTGATAGTGTCGGTTTGGTCGTAGTTCTTTAAAAAATGCACGTTTAGGTCTCATTTGTGGAGTAAGTTGCCCAACATTGTTCCTTCTC